AGCTAATTAAAATCCATATAAACGTGAAGGGGAAAAAATTCTTATGGCGGGATTAAATCCAAAAATGGCGAAGTAACAAGGAGAGGATATAAACAATTTATTGTCATTTCCTAAAACGAAAAGGTTATCAAAATTACTTCCTGCATTCTGGTAAATATGAATGTTTATATATAACTCATATATTTATTATTCATTTGAAACGTGAAATACAATTTTTTTTTATACAACTTAGAATAGTAAACAAGCTGACGGCCCACCTGATGGAAAGTGGTAACCGTCGCCTATAGACATGAGCAGTAGCATGGACATAACAGAGTATACTGTTTCGCCCATGATACCCCCCATGCGTTGCCATTAAAACATCACCAAAAGCCAAACAAAAAAATGAATAATAAATATATGAGTTATATATAACTCATATATTTATTATTCACTCTACACATCCCAAAGGCTGACTAGTAAAGAGTGTCTATAGCATTAAATCTGTCTTTGGCACCACATTTTATTGATCAATAAAGTTTGAATAAATAAACAAATAAATAAAATTATTGGGAAATAAACTGATTAATACAAAGTCAATATTATACAGAGTATTTTACAATTTGCTGTAATTTCCTTATCTCGTAACGGGCAGATCAATAAAATGCAAATAAGCAATGCTTTACGTATTCCGCAAAATCCCACATTTAATATGGAAAAGTGGGAGAAGATTCATCATCATTTCTCAATAAACTTGGAAATTTATTGTAATATTATACGACTAATGATCTAGCCTAGTTTTTATCCGCGACTTCGTCTGTGACCGGGATATGTTCACTGGCCGGGAACTGGCCTACGTCCTTCCCCATACAATATTGTGGGTGTATATCAAATTTTATAGCGATTGGTTGAGCCGATAAGGCGCCAAGAGGTAATAAACCAATAAACAAACTCACAATTATATGTATATACCACATCAGACATTAACTGTCCAACGCAGAAACTGTGGAACTCTCCCTATTGGGGGTTTTGCCGTGTTTGGCAGGCGGGTTGGCAACCGCAGTTAGACTTTGATGTTTTAATGTCCTAAGTATATATATTGCACAGCCGAATCTGATAAATCTAGAATCTAGAAATTTTGCAGATAGATTCATTAAACAGCGTAGGTGAACAATAAAAAAGGAATTTTGAAAATACAACCTCTAAAGAGTTAAAACGAGAGTTGAAAATTTGTTTGGAACTTCGTCAGTTTAGAAATTAAACATGGAATTTAATAGAACGAGAAATTGAATATTACATACGAGCGAATACCTACATACATCATATATACACACTTATCTGTCACGCCTGTCTCCCATTAGGGTAGGCAGAAACAATGGAACGCCAAATGCTTCGATTCAAACCTACCTCTTTCGCTTCTTCCACATTCCTCAATTTTTTCACACACGCTCGTCGGTTACGGTTACTTTTAATTTGGTCCTTCTTCAGCACGTCGTGTATGTGGTCGACATACGTCCATCTAGGGCGACCCCTACCGACATCTCCATTCATTCTTGCTCGATAAATCTCTTTCGTAATTCTCCTTTCATCCATCCTCTCCAAATTAATACTTAATTACATAAAAGCAAGATAAAAAAAGGCAATAATGGGCGAATGGGCGATCAAAAGATGATTAGGATTGCCCAATCGAGGCGGCCAAATTGTAGTTATAGTAATAAGTAATCCTAATAAATAAGTATTCCTTACTTAAAGGTAGAAATATACATTAGGGTAGAAACAAAAGATGATCTGGAGTTTCAGCCTACCCTAATGTGAATGCAGGCGTGTACTTCGAATAACAATAAATTAAATATGTACAAATCAACTATTAATTAAATATAAATGTTGCGTCAAACAATTAAATCCACTAACAAAAACACGCACAATCGTATAGAACAATACTCAGCGATACAAAGCGGAAAATAATAAAGGATTCTGCATCGTATGAACGTTTTGTTCTGTAAATATGTCAGTTAATAAACTATTAATATAATTAATTATTGGCTATGTGGTCCTTGTATAGAATAGGTCACCCCTTCCCTTCCCGTGGGTGTCGTAAGAGGCGACTAAGGGAGGACGAGGGATGGGCAGCAGCGTCCTTATTAAAACATCTTTAAAGCCTGACTGCGGTTTGCAATCCGCGTGCCAAGCGTGGCAACTACTGGCAAAACTCTCCGAGGGGTAGGTTTATGTTCAGCAGTGGAGTGATGATGATGATGATGATAATGAATTAATGTATTGAATTATAAATTAATAAAGAGAAGAGAAAGAGAGAATTTTTTTTATGCAACTTAGAATATACTGACAGAATATACTGTTTCGTCCGTGTTATACCCCATGCGTTGCCATTCCCGAGGACTCAGGTGTTATTCCTCTGTACCCTGTAAATTCACGCCATATCCCACCCCTTAAACCGAAACACATACATGCAAACACAACTGCTTCACGGTAGAAACACGAATGGGACAGGAGTGTCCAAGTAAACGACTTTCGTACAAAGTCTTCTGGTGATATAAGGGATAAAAATCCCGATTTGTAAGTAAAATAATAATTACAGAATTCTCAGAAAAACCTACGACACTGCGACCGTTCCATGATCTTTTGTGCTCGCTCTTACTTTAAAGTTCGATTATATAAATAAAATATTTTTAATTGTTTTTTTTTTCTTTTTTAAATAAAATACAGCCCATATTACTCGCTCATAATGCAGCTTTTTATAGTAAAAATAATTTTTAAAAATTAATTTGGATATTTGAATATTTTATTAAACTAGATGTTATTTGAATGGACGGAATGGCGGTCGGACGTCAGATGTCTAATAAAAAGTTTATATATTCTTTATTGTACTTGTAAATTACATTGTAAATGCATTTATAAATATTGTGAGCAAGGCTGGACTTATCTCTGACAGAGATCTATTCCAGTCAACCCAATGCAGTTAGAAAGCATATTGTTAGCGGGCAGCTAAAGTGCTACAACTAATATTTAGAGTACATAAACAAATATACAGTTAAATAAAATATTAAGATACATAATAAAATATTACATAAATACATTTACTATAAATAAATATAATACCTACCTACTTATACAATAGATGTTAAAATAAATGAATATACTACCTACAATAGAAATTTTGTTGAATGATTTTAAGGTTGGTCAGTTCAATTACAAAAATGAAAAATTAAGTTTATGACTCAAAGGAAAGAAAATGTAACTTCAACGTTTCTAGAACCTCTAGCGATAATAATCCTCAAGTGTTGGCAGTCGCACGCATACTAATGCTATGGTGGAAATAAATATAATCTTTCTAAACAACCATCAAATATTTTCACTTTTCTGATTTTAAAAAGAAGGAGGTACTTTTTTTTATTATTTGTTACCTCATATCTTCGTCAGTTATAAACCGATTTTGATATTTTAATTTCAAATGAATATTCACGGATCAATCCCATAGAAATTTTATCAAAATCGATTCAGTTGTTTACTTTGTACATCAAAATGTCACTAAAAATCACAATTGATATCGGTTTTTTAATGCGACACAATCTTTTATTATTAATCATTATTATACATTTAGGTTTTATTTCTCATTTCATTTAAGAGTTTCCTCTTGTCGGTGCAACTAATTCATGCATCTTCCTCCAGCCAGCTCTATCCCAGGCCATATCCTTTATCTCCCTATACGACATGACGCCTAGTATTTCCTTTATCTGTCCCATGTAGTTAATCCTCGGTCTTCCTCTTCCTCTCTTGCCCTCTATCTTTCCTTCTATTATGCTCTTAAAAAAATCGTCATGTCGTATAAGGTGGCCCAGCATTTTACCTCTTCTATTCTATATTATTTCAACCAAGGTTTTATTACCAATATTAAAATTATAAATATAAATAAAATAGTTCTTCAAACGATATAAAACTTTTTGTCTATGCACACAGATTTTAATTTCGGTCACATCTGAAAAGCTGGTGGTAATCTCTTTTAATACCTTATACAATCATTTAGCGAGATAACAGTGCTCCCAGTTAGTTTAGGTAACTACTTAACATTAATTTACTTAGAGGATAAGCGTGGACTTTGTTTTAGAGACGAAATATTAGTTTAGTCTTTTTAATATACACAAGTTTTAGAGTTATTAAATACAAAATTAAGGACACTTATTTATAAGTAGTTTTAAATCAAAAATATTTAAATTTTGCCTATTTGAAGTAACTATCTAAATTACCAGAGGGAGACTTTGTACAAAAGATTGCTTGAGTACTTCTGTCCCATTCGTGTTTCAACCGTGAAGCAGTTGAATAAAATAATCTGTAAGCCTAGGCCTTCTTCATCAGCCGACTTCGAAGAGAAGAAGGTTATCAATTCGATTATATTTCTTTATGTTTGTTATCTCATAACTCGGTCTATTTTAAACCGATTTGGATTTTTTTTTATATCTGATAGATTATACTTACAGATTGGTTTCATAGAAATTGTATCAAAATCGGTTCAATAGTTTTTAGACCAAAATAACTGTTTTTTTTTTTGTCACAATTAAAATCTTTTTTGTGAGACACAATCTTTCATTATTAGGTTTATTTATTACAGTAATAATCAATGTTTAAGTTTTTTATTTATACAACTTAGAATGGCAAGCAAGCTGACGTCCCACCTGATGGAGAGTGGTAACCTTCACCAATAGACATAAGCAGTACCATGGACATAACAGAGTATACTGTTTCGCCCATGATACCCCCATGCGTTGCCATTCCCGAGGACTCAAGTGTTATTATTTCTCTGTACCCTGTAAATTCATGCCATATCCCACCCTTCAAATCGAAACACAGCTATGCAAACACAACTGCTTCACGGTAGAATCACGAATGGGACAGAGGTGCCCAAGGAAACGACTTGTGTACAAAGTTTCCCTCTGGAATCAAGTCACGAAGTTCCTAAACACACTTTCTAAAATAACCGCTATTAAAGGTCCTCTACTTATTTACAGGTACTGTACCCTCGACAGCGATGTCGTTGGAGGGGCAGCGATGCCTATGCGTTGTGGTGCTGCTCATCCATACTACGGTCATAGGCGCTGGTGAAGGTAAGAAATTCAATTATAAGTTATGGGGTTAACTTAAGTTAATTATGGGGGAGGCCCATGTTTAGCAGTGGACAATCAATAATAAATAATAATATGGCAATGATGATGACATACATCATTTGGTCCTCAAACTAAGATACGCTGTGTTTTAAGAAACCAGCCATTTGACATCTGGGAGCATAAAGTCCATATATGTATTTAAGATATTATTTGGTACTACGTTTATTATTCATTTATTACAATAACTCATTGACCAAAAAATGGTACAAAAGGCGGACTTAATGCTAGTAGCATTATCTACTAGTCAACCTTCGAAATAATGAATCGAGAACGCAGTATTGGGATAGGTTAATAATAAAATATAGCTAATATTATTATATTTATAACTGTTTATGCCTTAAACTATCCACTGCTAAACATAAGCCTTCTGCCTGGGCGGAAGGAATTATGAGTAATAACTATCCCTTCCCCTTAGGCAAATCAGTTAGCCCGTCTTGATTAATATCTGGAATTTAGCAAGATAGTTTCTAGGGGGGACCACGTGTTTGAAGCAGTTGTGTTTGCATGGCTGTGTTTCAGTTTGAAAGATGAGTGCAATAAATTTACAGGGTACAGTGGAATAACACCTGAGTCCTCAGGAATGGCAACGCGTGGGGGGTATTATTGGCGAAACAGTATACTCTGTCATGTCCATGGTACTGCTCATGTCTGTAGGCGACGGTTACCACTTTCCATCAAGTGGGCCGTCAGCTTGTTTGCCATTCTAAGTTGCATAAAAAAAGTGGAAGTTGACCTGACAGAATATATTGCTAGCAATGGAACTGGCAGTCCGTATTGCTAACAATCCCTCCTCCCCTTATTTCATTGGTTTTTTTTTTTTTATTTTTGAAATCTATGCATACGGAGTAGTGGGCAAAAATATAGTTATAGAATTACGCTTTAGTTCAAATAAAGGCAAATTGATTGTTTATGTAAACCACTTAATTCTAAGTAATGTTTGTATTGTGAAAAATTGATTGATCCGATATTGCGGTCAGGGTGATTGATGGCGTGATTTACTCTAATCCAAAATGGCGACTTCGTAACTTAATAGTTTCAATATAAAGTAATCATGAAAATATGAAAGAAAGAAAGAAAGAAAACATTATCGTATAATATTGCCACATACAATACATAACTATTGGGGGGGAAAGGGATTGTTAGTAATGGAGACTGAGAATCCCATTGCTAGCAATATACCCAACTAGGTCGACCTCCTCGCGGTTCCCCCTGGAAACTATCATGGTTAATTCCTGATGAATTCATCATGATGGGCTAACTGGCCTGCTTACATTCTCATCTATCACCCTTCACTGGTGCTCGGCCAGCGTATCCCGTTAGCGCAAGCGAGGTTACCATATCATTTTCACCCATCAATAAAAAAAAACATAACTATTTATATATACTTATTTGTATGTTTATGTAAATTTTAGTATACATATATGTATTTGTTTCTGACATAATGGAAGAACGCGAATTGGCAACCGCGGGTAGTCTCTGGTGATGGATGGATTAAAGATGGGCGCAGTTGTCCATTCCTTGGCTATTCATTTCCGTTAGTTATCTCTTACGACACCTACGGGAAAAGAAGCGGCAGCCCAATCTCTGCTATCTCTATCTATCTATCTCTCCGGGACCACATAGCTAAAATAAGTAAATAAATAAAAACAATTATATGAAAACTGGCTTCGTCGAAATAAATAGTAATCTGTCTTTCTCCATTCTATGCAAATTTTTTTATACAACTTAGAATGGCAAACAAGTTGACAGCCCACCTGATGGAAAGTGGTAACTGTCGCCTATAAACATGCCATTATCTGTTATCTGTCCATTGCTGAACATAAGGCTCCCCCATAGACTGCTATAAGAACGATCCCGAGCCACCTGCATCCACTGTCACTCTGCAATGCATTCGAGGTCATCACATTGAAGTTCACATTAAAGCGCTCAGAGTTAGCAAACAAACACTTTCACATGTTATAAATTACTATTATTAATAATTATTATAAGTTAATTGTCTGCTACAAAAAACTGACGTCAAAACCAGTTATTTTATTTTAAAAACTAATCTACTCATTTTAAAAAATAATTTAGTAAAATAATATTTTTCCAAATTGGTTCACAATTGGCGAAGTTATGAGGTAACAAATATAAAGAAAATATACAACCGATTTAAAAACCTATTTCTTTTCAAAAGCGGTTGAAAAGTACAAATTGTACACACATATTAGACTTTTCTGTTTACCAATTCAACAAACACAAAACCACCCTAATAAAACTTGAACACCACGAACTATGGTGCCCGTAAAAGCGCCCAAAAGTCGTTATCCGGCGAAGGAGTTGACAGAAATAAAATACGAATGTTCCACCTTGTATTAATGTATAGAAGCATCTAAACTTTGTACACGAGGTTACTCACATATCACACTTCATCATCTTATCAACTTTTAATTGCCCACTGATGAACATTTTTTTTGTAATACAACTTAGAATGCCAAACAAGCTGACGGCCCACCTGATGGAAAGTGGCAACCGTCGCCTATAGGCATTAGCAGTACCATGGACATAACAGAGTATACTGTTTCGCCCATGATACTCCCATGCGTTGCCATTCCTGAGGACTCAGGTGTTATTCCTCTGTACCCAGTAAATTCACGCCATATCCCACCCTTCAAACCGAAACACAGCCATGCAAACACAACTGCTTCACGGTTGAAACACGAACGAACTTGTACAATTTTGAGTTGTTACTTTTTACTACATTTTGTAAAGAGTATAATGAATCATTCATTTATTCATACGATTCAGAGACACAATATTATCTAAATTGTACATCATCAGATAAAAAATAAAATAAATTTTACAACTGTTCAAATTACTGCCATTTGCACAAACTTCTGGACAATGTATATATTCCACAGCTGTTTAAAATACTATTGTTCAACAAAAACTTTTGGACAATGTTTTCTGTTTAAATCTGTGAAATCCTACAGCATCTATTTACTCAAAATGTGTGGCAATATATCACTAGCTGTGTTCGAGACATTCTCATCTATTTGATGATTTAACGAAGACAATATTTTCTTCTTTTATCTTCTTAATCTAATCTTTTGCCTCTCTTGAAACGTCTCAATGTTTGTAGACAAACTTTTTAACATCAGTGTAATTGTTTAAATAAAATATGGAGATGTAAATTCTTACTAATTTGGTAAAATTTTAACTACACGATGTCTGTACATGGAAGATCATCTTCGTCATCATATCATCCTTTAACTGTCAACTGCTGAATATAAGTCATCCCCTTGGGGGGTTTTGCCAGTAGTTGCCATGCTTGGCAGGCGGGTTGGTAACCGCAGTTAGGCTTTAAAGACGTTTTAAGAGGGACGCTGCTGCTCATTCCTCGCCCTCTCTTAATCGTCTCTTACGAGATCAACGGGAAAGGATCAGGTGGCCTATTTTATGCCGGGACTAAAAAATAGTAAGGGAAAAAAATAGTGAGGATTAAATATAAAATGGGGTGTTTTACCAGTAGTTTCCACGCTTGGCAGGTGATTTGGCAACCGCAATTAGATTTTAGAGATGTTTTAAGAGGGACGCTGCTGCCCATAAGAGATATTTAAGAAAAATTAATAAGAGAGATCTTCATAAAGCTAATAGATACCAAAACGATGTTTATTTTTGAAATTTTATCTCTGTCTGTCTATCTATATATTTGTTACGCCATCACGCAATAATTACTGCTCCAAATTATATGCGGTTTTCACTGTTGCATTCCTGGAAGTCTAACTTAAAATCAAACTACTCTTAAAATAAAATTTACTTATTTTTAATTCATACTTAAAGTCTAAATTAAAAATAAGTAGTATAAAAAAAAACGACTTTTGTACAAAGTCTCCCTCTGGTATACATGATATATATTAGATTCCGATATATGTTAGAGATTGTATTGATGAGTAAGCATCTGGAAAATGTATTCAAGTATTTAATGCAATCATTTGCTTCTGTAGTTCACAGCTCACTTCAATAAGCAGCGAAGCGGCGTTAGTACTCACACGTTAGACCGTTTGCGCAGTCATATACGAGTATACATTTTCGCGTAACCGCTTAAAAACCTGTACATTTTTTTCACAAAAGAGCAAAGTGAGGCACACGCGGCGGGTTCTGCGGTTTTTTTGTGCCTATCCAAGTTCACAGTAGATACATCCCGAAATACGAATGTACAAAAGTATTGTTGACTTTGACTGACCTCAGCAGGAATACGCAAAATGTTTTGTAGCCAATTTTTCTTTACACATAAAGTGGCATTGTTTGACACATTTATGTGGCAAACAGTTTTTTGGATGGTAAACGATAACCTTAGCCTAGATAAAGACAACGGCAAAACCATCCGCTATCTAGTCTTAAACTCAGCAAGGAAGAAATCTCTTTTAGAGATAAGTTCGCCTTTGCTAACATTGTTATTAACTTATTGTTGTTACTGTATGTTTTAGTGCAATAAAGTATATATAATAATAATAATATTGTAAATATCATCATCGTCACCATATCTCATAAACAATCATAAGCCTTGGGTACCCATTCGTGTTTCAACTGTGAAGCAGTTGTGTTTGCATAGCTGTGTTTCGGTTTGAAGGGTGGGATATGGCGTGAATTTACAGGGTACAGAGGAATAACATCTGAGTCCTCAGGAATGGCAACGCAGGGGGGGTATCATGAGCGAAATAGTATACTCTGTTATGTTCATGGTACTGCTCATGTCTATAGGCGACGGTTACCACTTTCCATCAGGTAGGCCGTCAGCTTGTTTGCCATTCTAAGTTGTATAAAAAAAAAGCCTTCTCTATAAAGGAAGTTTTGCCAGTAACATAATTATCGCACTTGGCAGACAGATTGATAACCGCAGTTAAGCTTTGGTGGTGTTTTAAGAGGGACGCTGCTGCCAATCCCTCGACCATGAAGTT